CTCTCTCTCTCTCTCTCTCTCTCAATTACGAATCAGCAACGATTCATGAACAATCGATAGTTTTTTGTTACAGAGAAATTTTTCTTATGACAAGGAGTGGTGTTACTTACACAGGAAGTTGAAGGGACTGGAAAATTCCTTTCTTAAAGAAAGAGAGAGAGAGTACTGCATTATAAGATGATAAAAAATGTATTCTATTTTTCCCATTCTGTAGCCTAGTATTTTTACAATATATGTTGAGACAAAATACTCATTCATTTATTTTCATACCTAATATCGTCCGAATCAAAGCACAGTCATAACTAAATATCAGACCTAAAAAAAACTTAATGAATAAAACTTTCAAAATTCTTCCTCTTCCTAGATTTCATCAATGGCAGAGAGCTTCACCTAATTTCGCTGGTTAGACTGTTAGGGCAGGGTCTCTAAAATACACTGGTTCCGCTCTCACTGCTTGTAAAAGAGCAGCTTGAGTATTAATTATTTTTGTGACAAATAGCGAATATTATGGTGAACAAGATGCATTTAGTGGAAAATAGAACTAAATTTTACCGTGATGAATATCGAAATCTATGTAAAGTACATATTCAAACTTCTTCCTTAGTTCTTGAATTCCAAGGACAATATCATTAACGTAGCAGAATCCCTCAGCTTCATCCCTGAAATGAATATGAGAGACGATGTCAGTGGAGGACATATGTGTTATTTTTCTTGCTTAAATACTAATAAATTACGTGCGATGTTGATAAAAAAATATATAAAAAACGAAGCTTTCATTGGTTTGGAAAGTTTCAGCAGATTGGCTTGACCATTTTCATGGTTTAGTTGCAAGATGATCCTCATTTATAAACCAATCCCACATTTCAGATAAGAGAAACTTATGTAAATAAAAATAATGAGAGAGTACCTTTGAGCATGATGCCAGCCTCCACACCAATTGATAACTACATCTGCTTCTCCATTAATGAGGGTATTTGCAGCGGTTAAAGTAGATCCAGCCATATGAGAAACATACTGAAATAGGTTCTTTAAAGGAGGACAATCGTAGCCTGCAAGAAGGGTATACAATTTGATGAAAAACATAGTTTAAATAAATTTAAATTGCGCTGTTATGGTTGAAATTCATCGTAGACAATCAAGATAAAAATTCTTGAGGTTTGTAGTAAGGTAAGTTGATGTTAATATTTTAATCTAGATTTCCTTCCTTTGGGAGGGCACAAAGAAGAGCTTCAAAAAGTTCTCACAGTACAGAATTGCATGATGTTTCTGATATCTAGATTAGAGGTAAGCTTGCGATGAGTCTTTACCTATTCCAAATTCTTCATTGGTTTCTTCATCACAATCACTTTCAATCACATCACTTCACCACTTTGCGGTAAGGTAAGTTGATGTTAATATTTTAATCTAGATTTCCTTCCTTTGGGAGGGCACAAAGAAGGGCTTCAAAAAGTTCTCACAGTACAGAATTGCATGATGTTTCTGATACCTAGATTAGAGGTAAGCTTACGATGAGTCTTTACCTATTCCAAATTCTTCATTGGTTTCTTCATCACAATCACTTTCATCCTCACTACTTTCATCAGTGCTGCTGTGATTAGATGCATCATCTTCTTCTGATTCGTTTTGTAAACTCAGAATATAATCAACATAGCTGGAAGAATGGAACTGGGATAGCTGTTCAGCATTTGCCAATTTTGGTTCTATCACCTTAACGAAATCCAAAAGTCCGTAAGCTTTGATTAAATGATGCACCATTTTGGCCTGTAAAAATAAGATAAGATCTTGAGAAAATCTAGTGGGTAGTGAATTTACTGAAACATTTTGGGTGCAATACACTTACCTAAGTTCTTATACGATAAGGAGGAATTACTTTCATTGGGATACTGATTTTACCTTCTCATGGAATTTCATTGATTCCAGTGCTAATTCATGATAAAATTCTGACTTTATTGAAACCTATTGACACTTGAAAATCTTTGAATATTTGAGGTGAACCTGAGGTAAATTTAAAAATTTTTTTCTTGTGACCTCCAAAATTTTATTAAAATATGATAGAGAGCTTTGGAGGATGAAGCGCATAAATGCAGTTTTTGCTATTTCGAGAAATACATGTTTCAAGTTTTGAAATTACTTAGATCCTCATGGCGGAGAGATTGACTGTTTGATGCTTAAAAATTGGAATTTGGGAGCGAATTTTCCATAGAATATGCATAAAGACTAGTTTCACTATTATTAATATCTCAATTTTTTCAAAAACTGCACTTGTGCGCCATGCCCTCCAATTATATGTTTTTTTTTTTTGGGGNGGGGGGGGGGGGTGAGCAGTTTAAATTGAATCCATGTTCAATTTCAGAAGTTGCTGGATATCAAAAACTTTCAAAGAAAAAAACTTAACCCAAAATCAGGATTTGTCCCTCGAAAATCAACTCAATATATTGGTGGCCAAAGTGTGAAACCATATATCTGCATTCGGACTTCCTGTAAGATTTTATTTTTTCTTTGGAAAACTAATCAACATAAGGTCTTGAAAACTTCCTTGATTTTTCTTCATGGTAGGTAAGCAGAATATTCTGTAAAAATTTCAAGCTATAAAGTTGGCTTCTTTTTCCTCAAAAAAAATAAAACCAGAGAAGAAATTTTGAGACATCGCAATTACGATACGTTGTTTTTCACTTAAGTCATTGATAAGCAACATTTTGGAAGCGAATATTCAAATATTTTTGACTATTGCTTCGATTTTTGATTTCTCATGAACCGTGAGAGATAACTGACACTTTTAACTAAGCTGGTAAGTCATTCTCGTGTGGAGTTGTGGACGAGTTTTCATTAACAATGAGATTGACGATAGGGATGGACGGTTATCGAATTTGAATGCAATTATTCAAATATTCGAATGCAATTATTCAAGTATTCGAATTTGCAATTTCGAATACTTCGGAAGCGAATATTCGAATGCGATGCGATTATCTTCGTGCCGATAATTCGAATCTAGAATAATCAATTATCTAAATATTCGACCATCCCTGATAGAAACATAACTGCTCCAAGTTTCATAACTACTTACCCTTTTCCCTATATTGGGAGTTTTTGATGATTCAACAAGGAGGCTGTTTGAATGAATATACGCAACACTGACGCTAGTATCTATTTCATCTGAGTCGCAACTACGTGTTCGTTTCCGGCTGGTGTCCATACTGGAACTGAAAAGAAAGCATGTGAATCAGATCACGCAAATAAACATCAGCTCATTGGACACAAATTTTCTTCAAGGAATTTTCGTAAAGAAGCTGCTTCCTTCAACTCCTTGCAGATACTGAAGTAGGTACTCCCCTTTTGTTTGGAGCACAAGTTTGTCGCATTCTTAACAGACTATTGGGTCAAGAATTATTAGAAACTTCAGATTTACAGAATTTCATGCGGTTGATACAATACTTTTGTGAAACTGATCATTGGTTACATGTTCTGTTGAATTTATCGCCTAAGCCTCAACTGTCTTCAGTGGCTACACTGTGGTTTTACATAGAAAAGAACAACTTGAAGAGACTCTTACCCATGAAAGATACCACAATAACGTTGGATCGAGAGCTACTGTTGCAATAAAATTGACGAAAAGAGTTTTTGGATTATTCTGATAAAAATAAATGAAATACTTATAATTAGTATAAATTAAAAAACCACGCCGGCACCATTGTTGATTGTTTTTGTTTATCAGCTGATTGACCATTGATAATTGGCTCTTTCTCCGAAAGAGTGCGTTGTTTATACAAATAAAACGCCTTACAAAGGGAACATATGCAAACTACATTTCTGTAGCAGCAATTGCTGTTCAACAAATGTAAGGCGACTCGAAATCAACTCGGAAAAAGTTAAGTAAGTCGTAAACCTCCTCTAGTCTAGAAGGTCAAGTTCGTATTTAAAAAAACAACAGATATTGTTGAATTCTTGAAACTCCATGCTGAAAGTCCGCGGTGAACAAATAATACCGCGGTAAAACCTCTGGGTAAAACGCGTAACATGCTCAGAGGACCCGCCATGTTACATAGAAGTAAAAGTTAGGTTATGGTTGATGTTGATGTAAACCAAAGACATAAAGACGGAGCACTAAAAGCAAAAAATGAAGCTTCTAGAGCTTCTTTTCAATCACCTCTACTATTGGCTAGAGGATTGGCGGCGAAATCGGGACAAGTTTGAATTCAAATGTAGGGCGGGAACTAATAAATAAAATTGCGGAAACAAAGTATTTTAGGTTGATTTTTGCCCAAATTCAGGTACACACTCATATTTTATTAACTTTAGGTTAGTTTCGGTCCGTCGTCGACCGACTGATTTCATTTGGGAGTAACGCAGATCTAGAACTGTAACGGCCTGTTTGAACCTGCAGAACCACCATAAGCAGAAGAAAAACTAACTTTATCTGAGATTACTGCCTGTTACCGAGCAAAAGTAGGTGTAATATATTAGGACGCAGACCGAACTTTCTTAATATAATCGTTTTAAGCATTTAAAACACGTTTCGAAGAAGAAATAAGGAAAAATCAAGAGGACAAGTTCAAATCAAATTTCCGTTTGCCGCCATGGATTCCCGCGCTCATTTACACACTCACACAAGCGCGCAGCGCCGAACCTAGCTTCACTTTTTCCCCGTGCTTTTAGATACGAGCACTCCGTCTTTATGTCTTTGATGTAAACAGACCCGATCCCGAAACGAACGAAGACATCGGCTTTTTTCATCGTGTAAAAAAGGAAAAATATAGTATTGTTGATTATTCAGGGTTTTTCTAGTGATCAAGTATACGGTGAATGTAAGTATATCATTACATATTGCTCGTCAAATTTTCATACTATATTACCGTATTAGGTGCTTACACTTTTAACTCTCTTTGGTGCGACTTTTCGCTTGGCCGATGCTGATGACTTCTCGCTTGGTGCATAAGTCAGAAGCTTTTCAATTTCAGTGTTAATCGAACAGTGTATGTACTCTAATGTAGCTGTCATTTATATTTTGCTCTTTATGAGTTTTTGAAATCGAACGATCTATCGTTATCATTGCATTATAGAGTTGATAGATGTTGATAGAATCACAACAGTAAAGTTGCAATTTGTTATATTTATAGTTCTTTAAAGTTCCAGTTTCTAAGCATGTAGCTGTGGAGATCAGAAAAGTCTGAATTGTAACCAAAAATTAGAGCACAGTGAGTGAGATTTATGTCCGTAAGTACTTGGCAAATGTCTGGTAAACGCAACCTTCAAATCGCTTCAGCATTGATTTTCAATCCCCCCCCCCTCCCGCCCCATGANCTTTCTTTTGGACGATGTTTTTTCAACTCTGTTTTTTTTTTTTTTTTTTTTTACAGTCTCAATCACGAAATGGAAATCAAGTCTGAACCAATTGAATCTGGTACGTATGAAGACAAGATATCTTCCTATACCTCCATCTCATCTGATAAAACTAGATACTTATTTTAAAATTGTTATGCTTAAATATTTCAGTTAGGTTTTTATTACTTGAGTGTTTAGCGTTTTTTACATGATTTTGTATAGTCACTCACAAGATAGAAAGAAGAATAGAGCCCGTTTCAGATTACTTTTCCCTTTTCGCTGTATGGGTGGAGTAGGGACATCTCTATTCCAGACACATAAGGAAAAGGAAAGATTTATCAGAAATGGGCTTACCCATTAGATTTAGTCAAGGATAATAGACAGTAAAGTTGATCTGAAGATTTGTGGGGAAGATTTTGGGACTTCGTCTCTGCCTTACTGGAGATCTGTTAGATTATGGAGGTGCTGGACCAGAGCTTTGTTCACACAGAGGTCAACTGTGATCTGCTATGATTTTTAATTCTGCTCTATGAGTGAACATTGACGTTCTGAACTTTGAAACATTGAATAGTTTTTCTATAACAGAATTTAGAGCAACATTTTCAGCACTCATCAAAAATGAATTTTACCCTTAGTAGAAAATTACTCTCTCATCCTTCCATAGCTTGGAGCTAGAGGAGTGTAACAAAATATTCACTTTATGGGAATAGCCGAGGAAACAGCAGGATAACCCTGTGATTGCATGCGTGTAATGCATTTTAATATTTCTGAAACTGAAGACGTGACTGACTCTAAAAACACCTATTTGTAACTCCAACTTTTTACTCCTGCAGCACTGATACTAGGTATGTGGAGAACTCCAGTGTTTCAATTTTTTTTTTTTTAAACATCAATTACGATATTTTGACTCAGAACGACTGATTTAATGCTTTCTTTCATTTGAAATGTTTCAGCTCCGTCTATAAAGTTAGAAACTCAAGATATTGATTCCAGTAAAAGGGGTAGCTGGCAGAAAGGGAAGAAAAGGAAAAAATCTTCCAGAGATGCAACAGCTCCAAGACATCCTCTCACAGGTACCTACATGAACCAAAATTTTGACATTTATAACAGTGGGGCCACTCTTGGAGAAAACCAGGGCAAGTGAGGGAGAAAAATGGGGAATCAGTTAAAATCAGAAGTTATTCCAAGCATATCAACGGTGAAACTACCAAACCACATATCTCGGCTTCCATCGTTGCAGACTTCCTGTCATACTGTATTTTCTGCATGGAAAACTACTCATCATTTCTCGAAAAATTTGGTGATTTCACTTAGCTATTAGAGGGATATTTCGTGAAAATTTCAAACCTTGATATTGGTTCAGTCTCCTTTTAAAAATTTGATTAGGAGGGGCATTTTGAAACTCTGCAACTGAGAATCGCATTTTTGCAGTTTCACAATTGAAACGTAGACCCTGTGCAATCATTTTTTCTCTCTAATTTGTTGAATGCAGTGATCTGTAAATTATGAAGATTAAATTTTGTCCTTTTGTAGTTTCCAATGATTAATCTCAATGTGTTTTTACAGGTTACGTCAGATTTCTAAATGACCGACGAGAAAAAGCAAGAGCAGAAAATCCAAATTTGTCATTCTCAGAACTTCAGAAGTTGCTTGGTAATGAATGGAATCAACTACCACAAAATCAGAAACAGGTAAGAAGTTATAGCTGCCTTCAAAATTGTTATCCTCGATAAATATCTTATCCGATTACATTGAACATAACTCAGTCTAGGGATATCATGTCTGCAAAGAATGAGTCATCATGTACCTATAGTCTCACAACGACATTTACAAACATACTTATTTATCCATCCTTTGCAAGAGGATCAGCTTGAATAATTCTGGCATTCTACAATTTAGCGTGATTATTATTTCAGGAAATTTTTGATATCAATAAATCCAAATTTCATTTTAGGTATGCTTAACCATTGGCATTGATGTAGTAAACATTAGTTTAATTTTGATCATTACTTTTAAAGATTTTTGGTCTTAGTACTTCAAAACTTTATTTTTGATATCCATAATTATTGTTGTTGACGTAGCAAACATTCAAACTTTATTGTCAAATCTCCCTTATTGTCAATAACTTTACTTCCTTAAATACCATCTGTGAGCCTGCTTTTACAGATTTGCTCTAGTAATAAAACGAGAGGAGGGATAAAATCAGAGAAACTTACTTTTTTTAGACAACCTCCGAAGTTTTTCATGATAAGTTTCTCCCTTCAAAAATAATGCTGCAGAAATACCAATACCGCAGCTGACAACACACATTTGTTCACACATTTTGTTGTTTGTAAGAGTGTAAGGTAAGAAGCTAAAACCTTAGATGTTTTCTATTCCCCATGTAACTTTTTCTCTCTGTTTGTAGCAATACTTAATTGCAGCTGAGCAAGACAAGGAAAGGTATTCCCAAGAAATGGCAGCTTATCGGCAAACAGATGCATACAGGGATTTTGTTCAGAATAAACTAAAGAAGAAATCCAAACAGGATCGAAATGAAGATGTAAGTGAATTCTTCTCTTTTTAAAAAAAAATTAATTCATGGTATTGTAGTCAAGTCAGGAAAAACCAGAGAAAACACAAAATTTGAAGCTACTGAACTGGCACATTATGGATTTTGAAAGTATTTTCGAATTTTTAAAATTCATGCAAAAATTCAGACTAGGCATATGTTTGAAGTTTGACCTCAGTATCTATCTGGAAATTGATAAAATAATCTGAATATTACCACAGGACAGTTTTATCTCAGTAAGGCAGATTTTTCAATTTTAAAGTATCCTGGAGAACACATTATCCTGTACCAAAAAAAAAGTGAAGTTGCTTTAACATTTTGGTTGTAAAAAAAAGTATGAAAGTTTATAAAATTCTGAATTGCCCGCCACAGCAGATGGTTTTACATTTTGCCATTGCTAACGTAACTGCTAAAGCGGGTAATTCAGCATTTTACAAGTTCTTGCACACTTTTTTTACACCCAGAATGTTAAATCAACTTCACTTTTTTTTTGGTGCGCAATATAAGTTAAAAAACAATTGGTGGTTAGTATCAAACAGAATTTAAAATCAATGAATAAATAAATTAGCTGTTACTCTTCAGTCTAATTTGTTGTACAGCAACAAACAACATTGTGTTAAATTACAATTGATTTTTCTCTTTGTTCAGGAAAATGATAAGGAATTCGAGTACTCCGGTTATGACATATCGATTTTCACAGAGGAATTTCTAGAGCACAATAAAGGTAAGAAATTCAATCATACCTTGCCCATTCAAGATACTATACTGTTAAATTCTTATTATTTTTAGAAGGACCAGCAAATTTAATGGCCTCTATATTGTCTTTCATATTATTTTTAAACTCCCTTCAATTTATGTTCTGCAGCTTTTACCAGAATCAATGTAACTCTTTTGTTTTGGGTCCGTTAACAAAATCCTAGCAGTAAATTAACAAGAACTGAAAGATAAATTGAATGTGTTAACTTATTATTCCAGTTCGAGAAACAGAGCTGAGGCAATTGAGAAAATCAGCAACTAACTATGAGCAACAGAATGCTATTCTATTGAAACATCTTGATAACATGAAAACGGCTGTCGAAAAACTGCAATCTGAAACAGCTCAGCAAGAAGCAGCAAATACCTCAATGCAGAAGCATTTACAAGATCTAAGACAAAATTTGTCACAAAAGTTTGCGGCTCTTCCTTTGCCAGGTATGTATGTTTGTCGCATGGATTGTTTGCTATCTAAGTTCCTTCCTTTTTCATGGTACTTTATGCATTCATGGATTGACCTATCATTTAGGTATGAAGTATTAAAAAGCAAAAACATTAGACACATGTGAACAAATAGGACTTTCTACTCCCATTCACTCAGAAATTAGATTATAATAGATTCAGATAACTCTGCATTTTTAACTCTTTTATGATTATGATTGGCCCGTAACTGAAGGAAAAAAACATTGATTTTTTGTAAATCAATGAGATTAATTGAGCAATTTCTATTCGGTACGGTCACTAATAATTTACTAGCTGCCTGAGTCCTGCTTACCCAAGATTTTCCAATTTTTTTTTTTATTTTGGCACTGTAGAAAATTGAAAACTAAATGTCTGGGCTCTCAGAAAATTATAGTAATCATTAAAAAGTTTTCATATGCCTTTTTTCTCCCTTTTTGATTTTGTAGCTCCTGTGGCTGTTCTTGTGCCCATACACAAAAGTACTTGTATGGCATCAATTAAAGTCTTGAGTCTGCTCTACGCCTGTTGTATTTCCTGTACCCTATTATCTCTATTTTGCTTACAAGCAATTCTATCTCTATTTTTATCTCAGTTGACTCTGAAATGTCATTTCAGAGCTATTCATGCCCTAAACCGAGGCAGTTGAAGCCACAGATAAAATGCACAATCATGTGATTCAGAAAGTGATAGTCACCTCTAAGTTACGTGAATCGTGCTAAAGTAATTTTTCAAGCATTCGAGTTCTCAGGACCCACAGTTATTTAGTGTAAACTGTGTGGTAGTATAAAACTCGAACAATCAAATATTTTTATTGTTTCATTTTTAATTGTGTAAACATACGTGACAGCTTTGACTAATTGGGCTTTATCCTCTGTAAGACAGTTTTCAAGTTAAAGTAATTAATGTTAAAATTGGAAAAATAGAGTTGTCAAAGAGTAACTTTTTCTCATAGACTTGGGAGCAAGTAACTTGTAATGTTGGTTTATTTACATCATCACAGAGGATTTAATTAATAATTCCTGAAATTTTTAGAAAAGTTTTTGAATAACTCAAATACTAAAGTCATCAGCTATTGAAGTTTGACATAAAAATAAAGCTGAAAACATGAGCAGCTAAAATAGAAGGTATAATTTGAATTAACCTCAACTTAAATTGGCCTTGGCAAGGAAGATTGTCTCTGCAACTTTCTGTGCGGGCTGCCTGAAAAATATCTCAGCAGATCATTCCGTATTGGCTTTTGATCATGTTGCTCAAGAAAACTTGTTTAAATATTTACTCGTTCTTTTATCGTTGTTTCAGGTACCAATGAAACTCCTACCCTACAAACAATAGACAATTATATGTCTCAGATGTTGTCAACTCTGATGGCCACACCACCAAACCAAGCTTTCAACAAATCAGTGAAAGATGTTGTGAATAGTCTAAATATTTCAGTCAAAGACTTCATGAGTGATTTCAATAACGTCGCATGATAATTGGTAAACTCGTGTTTGTTAAACAATGAATTGAGTTCAAGTGCAATGAATCACTAAAAATTTAATGGTTTAAGAATCCAATCAATGAAAAAAAATGAGGACTCAATCAAGTCCAAGATTGATGCAAAGAAATAAAAAAAGGAGAATATAGGAAGATGAATTTTTTGTACATAACTTTTTTTTTTATCATGATCACCAATTTTTTATTTATTGATAGTGTTGAATGAGAATCAGTTTTAATATCCATAATTGATGTTCAGCAACAAGACAGGGAATGAAGAAGAATTCAAGTTTATTTTTCGTTTGTGTAGCTAAATTTTTTCTTGTACTATTAGTATTTTTAATTTAATTTCCTGTAAAATGTAAGTGTGTGTTCTTTTGTTTTTGAAAATATTTTGTTGATAAATTTAATATAAAGTGAAAAGCAGTTTTATAGAAGCCTTTTCTTAAGTTGAATATTACACCACTCAGTCACAACCTTATGATAGTTAAGAGTTAGAAACTTTTTTTATTTGTAAGTATCCCACTGGAATCTAAACAGGCTGAGCCCAAAAAAAAAAAAAAAAAAAAAGTGTTCTCAGAGCAACACTGCTGTGCCAAGGAAAAACGTCATATGAACATCTGAATGTTGCCAAATGTCCTGTCAGAAAATACTTTTTTTTTTAGGAAAAGCAAGAACATGCTTCGTTGAAATTTTCAGACACTTTAGATCAAATTACTAAAAAAAAAATTCTCTGAAAAATAGGATGAAAAATATGTGAAAATTTCCCCAAAAATTCTTGATTCGTCAAAAGAAATTTGGCAACGTCAGAGCGTTCATACAACATTTTTCCTCAGAATGGCAGAGTGAGAAACCTTTTTTAAGGATTATCAATTTTACAGTTCGTTCAGGTATGAACTGAATTGAAGGGGCTTTTAAAATCTTCTGAAACTCTTACAGAAAAATATTCTTAAATTTTCTAAAAATAGCACTTTATCGAGAGGCATTTGGCATTATTCGAATGCTCATACGGCGTTTTCTTAAAGCATGATTGTGTTAGTTTCTAAATTTATTGATAATTCCTCAAATGTGATAAAGAGGTGGTTAGCGGGCCGATTATATTGATAGACAAAGCTATAGACAAAACATGACTTAAGGCATATGGAGGGAACTTATCGGTGGAATTTGGTAGTTGCAATGGACAAAGGCAGTAGGTAATATACTAACTAACGGCAACCCACAAGAAACCCTACAGTCAGTCCATCATTTTCTCCCTAAGTCTATAAGAATCACACATTTCGACCAATAGGATCGGTCCGTGCCCCCTATGTCTTCTTTGTCCATAGCTTTGTCTATCAATTTTAGTAATCAGCCCGCAGGGTACGTAGGGATACAGCTATTTGGTGGATGCATCTTACTTAACTTCTGCGTGGGCTTTGGGTTGCATCGCCAAAATTGAAGGGGAACTACCCGCGGTTTCGTAAAAATTCCAAGTGATGCGAGTACGCGAGGCACTCCAACTGATATGCTGTATGTAGCACCGTCATCCCTATTCCTTGATGAGGAGGATTTGTAGTTTAGGGGTGAAAACTGCTCGCCTTGCTAGGGAAGAAAGCCCTGATCAAAGTTGCAAATTCGTGATCGATTGAAGTTTAACTTTTTGCCTCTTGCGTTAAAGTCTCTGGCCGTAGTGTAGCTAACGGGCGGGCGGGCGTAGCGCAGGTACGTGGAGGTTCGTAACAGTGCAAGTATCGATGGAGCCTAATTGATAACGGATCGACCAAGTTCCGATATTCAACATGTATAAGCTCTCAACTCCACATTATTGACCTCGTATCTCCCAAGTAGCATTTTGCAACGGAAAAATCTGGATATACTGAAATTTTATCGGCGATAAAATCGCTAAGAACATCAAAATCTGAGCGATTATCATCGATTATATTGAGATAAAATCGCACTTTTATCGCCCGACAATTTATCGCGATATTTTCGAAATAAAAATCGCGATAAACGGCGATTTAATCTCGATTTTATCGACGAAAATTGTTCAAGATTTCATTGAACAAAAAATTGCGATTCGTAGCGATTTAATCGCCATATATCGCAATTTTTAATGCGATATAATATTTCGATATATTGCCACCAATATAATCGCGAAAACCAACCGATAAAATCGCTGTTTACCGCGACCACTGCTACTTGGGAACGGATCGACCCAAGCTCCGATATTCAACATGTATATACCCTGGTAAAAATTGGCAGTAGAATCTGTGTTCCAAAGTACCATAGACCTACAGCCGGCTGTAAGATTTCCAATAGCTTCTAAAGTCGGCAACACAATTTCTTATAGCCTTTTATAGCCGATGGCGATTAAGCAACAGCCTGGCGATAAAGTGTATGCTGAACGTTTCTAATTGCGGATGCTAGGACTTAGTGAGTTTTTGGACTACCGTTAGACCGCTCTCTTTTTGGGCCGCAGTATCTTGATTTATTTTGCGAGGAAAGCTCCGCACTTTTGAAGGATGCCTGCCATGCCTAATATGTTGGAGCGCCTTCAATTTCGTATGATACTGTGCAATACCTCTGATGTGAAATAGTTGCTTCAAGCGCCGCGGTACGCTGCGGCGCGGCGCCGGGCGGGTAGCCAGCGCTGAACGCGCATCGGCGCCTACAAACCTAACAGGGATACTTCACGCATTGCGCAATGCGTGAAGTATCCCTGTTAGGTTTGTAGGCGCCAGTGCGCCGCCGCTCCGCTTTGCGTTAGGCTCTAATATTTTATCTCGCGGAGTCAGCGTTTTTCAACTCATGACTGTGAAATGTTTGCACAGTCTGTATGGATTATTCTCATTTTGATTGATGAAAAAAAATATGTAGTAAAGGAAAATATAATGTGCGTTTTGTAAATATTAAGGTGATTCCGTACAAACTTAAGGATTCACAAAGCACAAGAATTTCTACACAATTTAGCCTTTTAGCCGATGGCGATAAAGTGTAAAGCCCGGCGATAGGAACTATAGCCCGGCTGTATAATTTGTTATCGCTTCGTGTAGCCCGGCCGTATGATTTTTTCCACTTCCTACAGCCAGCTATATGATTTTCTATCGCCCTCTTCAGTCGGCTATATAAGAACTTCTATGGTATTTTGAAACGCAGCTCCTATCGCCAATTTTTACCAGGGTAAGCTCTCAACTCCACATTATTGACCCCGTATCTCCAGTGTGGTGTTCCAAAATCGCCGCTCCTAGTTTATTTTTTTGAAGGGGACCGAGTCATTTCATAGCTTGAGATTTATACAGAATATTCTACTAACAGAGATGAAAATTTAAGGAAATTTTCAAGAAATTACGTCGATTAGTTTTCTAAGGATAAATAAAGAATGACTAGAAGTCTACACCGTCGCAAAGGGAGTTACGTGGTCTCGTACTTAGCCATCTTATACCGCACACTCGCACGAAATGCGACAATGTAACCGAATGTCGAATTGAAACGGACAATTTTACGGGTTTCAGAAAGAGTAATTGAGGGGCTTGGAGGACAAGGCGCATAAATGCAGTTTTTGAAAAAAACTGAGATATTAATCATTTCAAGTAGTAAAACTAGTCTTAATGCATATTCTGTGAAAAATTCGCCGCCAAATTTCAATTTTGAAGCATCAAAAAGTCAGTTTGAACTTTTTTTCCGTCAGAAGGATCCATGTAATTTCGAAACTTCAAACTATTATTAGTATTTCTCGAAATAGCAAAAACTGCACTTACGCGCCTTGTCCTCCAAGCCCCTCAATTGATATTTCTTCAACACGAAATGGTAGGCGGGATCGAGATGCAGCGTGCGGATCACACTACACTATATTGAAGATGCAAGAATCAAAGCAGTGCGGGTTGTTTCGTTGAGGTTCGCTATGTCAGAAATCTGATCGGGAAGTTGGAATGTTAATTAAATAGATCTCTAAATGATGAAATATTACATGAGGGTTGCTATATTTTTTCCCGTATAAAAGCAAACTGGTAGCGAACTATAGCAGGTTGCCCACAAAAATTTAAAATTAGCACTATTTGTGTTTTGCAAGATATCTGTTACCGAATTTGCTTTGATAAAACACAGATTTTCTTAGAAATTTTTGATATTTTCTGTATATTATTTAAGAGAAATAAGCTCACAATTTGATGGAAATCATCTTAAACTTTCAGAGGAAAATAGTCATAACTTTCCTTTAAAAAAAACGTACTTTATCGAGTCATTAAACAACATCCGAATGTTCAAGCGGCGCACCGGTCAGAGCATCACGCTTATTAGCCCCTTCAAGACTGCAGGAATACTTCACGCATTGCGCTAAATACAGTGCGGTCGCTGGTCAGCGCCAAGCGCATACTAGCGCCTACAAGAGTGCATGAATACTTCACGCATTGCGCTTAACACAGTGCGATCGCCAGTCAGCGCGAGAAGCATACTTGCGGCACGATCATATTTTGAAGCGAACACTTCACTCAACGGCATGGAATGTTTTGTAGCAGTTTTGACTGTCCATAGCGGCCATTTTGACGAACAAAAATACCTGTGACGGTTGTGACATGGAAACTTCATGACAGCATATTCTCGAAATATTTCGGGTGGCAAACGCATTTCTTTCTAAATCAAATGCATTGCTCATTTTAACTACAATTAGCTATTCTTTATGAAATTAGTACACGACTTGATCGATTCCCGGTTGATCCCAACAAGTTTTTGGGTTCACCGGGAAATGGCGGCATTATTTATTTTGCTTTACTGAGGAAAAATGCCATGTTAATGCAAGAATGTTGCCAAATTTATTCAAATAAAACATTTTTCTTCGACGAAAGTTTTGAATATTTTTCCTCAAAATTTTCAGATTTCCTATTCAAGCGAGAATCAAATTATTTGAAGCCTCAGAAGAAAAATATTCCTAATTTCCCCAGAAAATTCGTATTTTAGAAAGGACTTTTGACAACGTCGAAAGACTCATACGGCGTTCTTACTCAGCACGACTGTATATTCTGCCGTGCTAAAGGATAACGTCGCACGAGCATTCGGATGTTGCCAAATTTCAGAAAATATTTATTTTGAAAGAAAGCTATGAATATTTTCCCTTAAAATTTTGGGACTCTTTCGATCAAATTACCGAGAAAATTCTCCGAAAAAATCGGAAGAAAAGTATTCACAAAAATTCCCTAAATTTCAAGATTTTTCAAAGGACATTTGACAACGTCGAAAGGCTCATACGGCGTTCTTACTCAGCACGACTGTATTTATTTTGTAAGAAAGTTATGAATATTTTCCCTCAGAATTTTGGGACTCAAATTACCGAGAAAATTCTCTGAAAAATCGGAAAAAAGTATTTACAAAAATTCCTTAAAATTCAAGATTTTTCAAAGGACATTTGACAACGTCTAAAAGCTCATACGGCGTTCTTACTTAGCACGACTGTGTACCTATTACCCTGTAGGATCGGAGCGGGCCCTGCGCGTGGTCCGTGCCTCTAGTTATCAGCAAATTGAACAGAATGCGCTTGCTGTTTCCTTCAAAGAGCTGTCAAATCAAACCGCGGGCTGCCAATAGCCGTTCATTTTTATCTCGCGCCTTGAGTGCTCTCCAACTTTTTCACATGTTCCCACGGTGCGTTTGTTTACAACGCCTCATGATTTTCGTAGTTATGTTTTCCTAGTGGCAAGTTGGTTTAATAGCTAATCACGAGCCGAAAATGGGGAGAAAATTGTGTTCATTTTTGTGCATTTCTGGTAAGTCCATTTTATTTTTTTGCTCTGTTTCTTCTCTTTCCCCGGTCTCACCCCCTTTTTTCTCTACAGTTTTTATTCTAAATAACTCTTACACAACAACCCTTGTCGAGAGGTGTAAATTTATTTTTATGATACGGATCAAATTTCAGAGATGCACTGCAAAATATTTGGAGTTCGACCAAATTCTCGGCCAAGTTACATTTGTATGGGGGGAAAAATTGTCCATGAATGGATCTAATTTTTTCAATAATAGAGTAAAACTTGCATACTGTTTACAATTATTATTTTGTTACTTTCGTTACTTTGTTTCATTATTAATCCGCCATCGATTAATTCCAAAATTTTAAGTCATACTTTTTAAATTTTTTACTGTTAAAGACCCACTTATTCAGAATTTTAAGTCCAATTTGTTATTGACACTGGATTTTGGAAATTTAGAATTGATCACAATAAAAATCATATTTAAATAATCATTGTGCATTACCGTTTAAAGGATAGAAAATGTACAAAGAAGCATCGCACCAGCGGCATTTTCATCATGTATAAATGTTTTTCGTTCAGAGATATTTCCTGGTATCTCCGGAAAATCTACTCTTTATCAATGCTTTTCTTACCTACGATAACCGTACTTCGTACTAGATTTTTGTCTTGAAAAGTTAGCAGTACCTATATAATATTTTTCTTCTTTTTACAAATGAACGCTTTTTAAAATGACACCACCAACATTGTTACAAAAAACTCTTAAAAAAAGTTCGAAATTTCAAAAGATGATTCTATAATTAACCGTCAATACTTAAGGCTAAAAGTAACTCTTTTAGGTATTTTTTTAAAGTAAAATTTTAAGCAGGAGCAACGTCTTTTCTCCTCTTCCTTTTTTTTGAAGCGAAACTCTCAAAAGATTTGCTCCAGTTGTTTGGATAAGTATCTACTTGTAATGTTTGAAAAGCGGTGTTGAAAAATGCTTAAGAATATTTGGTTTATATGTAGGTAAAAACGGAGGGGATCCTTCTTCCCTGACTTTTTCCCATCAGCTGGATTTCTCCCACGTTTTCCCCTTTGGGCTTTTCCTCGTACTGTTTGTATATTTTTTATTCTCTTATATACTGAGGTACAGCCCTCAGAGGCTCAAATGATCTTCCCGTTATGGGTGATGTACTCATAAAAAACCTTAATTTTGAGTCACCAAGTTGCAAGTCATCTGGCCGAAAAAAAAAGGTCCGTAGGCCCTAGCACTCCTTGCCAGTCCGGTCTTGCTACCTAATTTAAACGAGCACTCACGAATTTTCAAGAGAAAGTGAGAGATGATCTCCACTGGATGAAAATAAAATGAAATATATGTAAGGCAGTTTTGCAACGTTGAAACGAGTAAGTATACGGCTGATTCTAGCTTAAAGCAGCACATTCGACGTTTATCAAAACATGTGCAATTTTCCAAAGCCCGGAACACAGGAACTCTCCCGGAAATGTCAGCGAAAACATAAAGACGCAAAGCGCCAAGACGCTAACGACTCAACGATTCGAGAGTAAAGGAGATGACATCAATGGTTGGCCGGTCAGCCGTATCGCAGAATATCAGTTTGATTACAGTAAAATCTATTTTATGGCGATGTCAACATGCAATAAAGGGTGTATCCACTCATTACGCGGAAAAATAGACTAGGAGGGGAGGGGGTAGGTGGAAAATCTGAAGGCGCTCGGGATGGTGTAGTGACAAGTCGGTAACCTTTTCTCGGCTCAAATACCAAGCGGAACACGTGTGCGGAAAACTGGGCCAAAGGAATCCGTTGACATTTCCAGTCCGGTGAGAAACTCCGTTGTCGGTGTGAGGATGGCGCTATGGCGCGCCGTCGGGGAGGGGGGGGAGGGGGCAACTTGCTCGAAGGAAAGTAGAGAGCCTTCATTACAAAGAGGGTATGGACTTCTGACGAATGTGTTTCTGATATATGTTCAACAATCTTTTAGCTCCCCTGTAGAATTTCCAGAGTACACAAAAAATAAAAATTGGGACTACAATAATTGAAAATTTAGTTGCATCAACTCATACTATCGTGAATGGAGATGTTGCATGTGTGAGGGATTTGCGATTTGACAATTGATTATTGTGTAAAAGTTCGCGAGAAACACGATGACGCCACTGGTTTTCTCTGAAATCAACTCCCAAGCTCAAAAAAAGCTCTCAAGTTGAGGCTAAAATGGAGGGGATATCCCACGCTATCCTGAGAGTCCACCTCTACATCAAGACAAACTCTCCATGCAAAGATAGGGAGCAAATACATTGACAGGGTTGCCGTAATTTCAGTTTTAGAGCCCTCAAATGAGGTGGCAGCCCTGTCAATGTATTTGCTCCCTATCTTTGCATGGAGAGTTTGTCTTGATGTAGAGATGGACTCTCAGGATAGCTTGGAATTTTCCCTCCATTTAGGCCTCAACTTGAGAGCTTTTTTTGAGCTTTGGAGTTGATTTCAGAGAAAACCAGTGACACCATCGTATTTCTCGCAAACTTTTACATAAGAGTCAACAGTCAAATTGAAAATCCCTCACATATGCAACATCTCCATTAGGACTAGATTACTCTAGGTGTCAATGGTGACCACTGTACTGTAACCACGTTCATGATTTGGAAAAAAAAAAAAAAAAAATAGATTTCTTCGAGTTAATTCAATCTAGACGTTCCCCATGGCGACTTCTTAGCATTTTCTCCAGGGTAGGAATAGTCGGAGGCACAGTGAAACTAATGAGATAAATATTCGTGCATCGCGGTACGTCTTTTTGCCTACTCTAAAATTTAAAGGAAATTTTTCTTTGTCATACGCATTCGGCAGTCTCCAAATCAAACAGAGCTGATTGTGAGTAAGCGTTAAAACAAGCTATTTAAAACAACTTGGATCATCTGAGATCCAAAAACACTCATTGACTGTTGTTAAAAAAATTGACTTATTTTAATGTGATGCGGCACTTCCTGATTCAAAGGAACACGGTGTTGCACTTGCATCAATACCGTCGCATGGCATGCTCCCACCAGGATTGAGCTGTGCGTGGGGCCTACCTTATTAGGCGAAGGCCGTCACAGTATAGCTTCAAGATCACTCATTTACGCAAGTAAGCTCATGCAACGCAAAGAAACGTGTTACGTTAACACTTGCCTAGGTCGCAAAAAGAGTTCTCGGATGCGAATTTTTGCTTGCGAGCAGCAAGGAGACAAAACCAGGCAGTTCGTTTAAATACTTCATTCTGGAGGGCAAAATAAACCAATGTACAAAGAGAGACAAATTCTATGAATACCTGCTTTATCTCGTTCTGATAATAGAAAAAAGGAGAACAAATTTCCCATTATCTTAATTGATAGGCTATGGGTAGGGTAGGTTTTGAAATAGTTTGAGTCCAATTTTTTTTTCGAGAGCTCTAGAATTTTACGAATGCAGCAACTTGTTTGATATCGACAACTGTAAAATTCACCGCAACCATCCAAAAATTATAAAGAAAAATATTTAAGGAATATTTTTAGGAAGTACGTTTCCTACCTATCGACACATTTTTTCAGAAATTTTGCTCAACGGATGCCGAGCCACAATCGCATTCATGATCTTAAAGCGGATTATACTAAATTAGTGGGCCTGTAGACCCCGTTACATCGATAAGTTTACTTTTTCAACTGCTCCCGAAAATATTGTAACGGTGATCGGTTATAAACATATCCGTAATCATGGCGATCTCGTAGAAAACAACCCGAATCCTGCATAGATACAAGTTTAGCCTTGACCATATTTACAATGTCAAGTAATGTGGAAATTCTGTACGAATGGAAGGGGGGGGGAGGTTGGTTAAAAGAGAAAAAATTAATCGTTTCGAGAGGCAGGGATCTAAAACGACAGTCATAAGAAAACAACGCACAGTCCACTAGACTGTTTTAGGAAATACGCGTGCTTCACTATTTTCTGAGTTGATAGGTCATTGGGTCACGTCTGTTCAATGATGCCTGAGTGTCACGAAAACTGAGGGAGACAATAATGTCTCTGTTTGTTACTTCGTGAGAATGGTCACGGACTGACTAAATGCTATTATTTCGCTGAAAGTACGCTTTTATTTTGCGGGTGGCAGCAGTGTTGGACGAAGAGGCGAAGGATGCCGAAGACATAAAATTTAAGATTCGAGGATGATACGATGGCGGTGGGGAGGGGTATATTAAAAAATTAACGGGAGGCGATACAAGGAGTAAGGATGATAACGTATTCCCTCGAGTGCCTCAAGAGCCGAACATGATAAGATCGATACAACCGTAAATTAATGTCTTGGCGTCATAGGAAACCGCGCCCCTGCCGATATAGTCAACACGCAATGTATACAGAAGTCACTTGTTAATGACAATCGGAAAAGACTAATGAAATCTTCCTCCTCGACCAGGCACCTTCTCCCGAAATCTTGCCCTCGTTATCCGCTCTCTCTGTTTCTTGTTGCCGGTGGCCGGGTGGCGTGGTGTTCTTTGCGATTTATCGATTGATCTGTCATTTAAACAATGGAAACAGTGGCGTGACGTGCTTTGCGATACATCGATTGTTATGCCATTTAAACCTATGGAGAAGGATCGATAAACAGGGTGTTCACAGCGAACACCTTAACAATCGATGCTGAACCAAAGGTTTAAATGACATAGCAATCGATATATCGCAATTCACGCTACGCCACTGAATGGAAAAGGATTGATAAACAGGGTGTTCGCAACGAACACCTTAAAATTCGATTCTTTGCCATAGCTTCAAATGGAAAAATATCGATAATAGATCATTCACGCTTTGCCACTACACAAGAGATCGTTAGTCATGTGATCCTTCATAGCTTTAAAGAATCCCTTTCGCCCTTTGGATATTTTCAAAAAATCGGAAAAAATTACTTCTGCATCGTCCTGTAGGAGCCTCTTCTATTGGAACTGTGAATGCTTTACGACTAAAAGCGATGAGAAAATTTTTGGAAAGAAAAAATTCCTTACACTCTTGAAACGTTTG